TCTGTGATTCTTGTGTTCTTGAGTCCACCCGAGTCACCGGAGACCCATACTCTGACACCGACTTGAACAACTATGCTTGCCGCGGTTCTGACCCTGCGACAGGTCCTATGTGTCATAATGTCTCTCATTCTTCTTTATGACAGCAGGAACTTCGCCACAGCAAGCCGCGCGGACCAGGGCGCCGCGTCCAACCGGGGAGGGCTGCCGAGCAGGGCCCCTCCGAACCGGGAGGAGAGGCCAGCGGGGAGTGTTGCGCCCCCTCCCGCGCTGGGGAGGAGAGCCGTGCTGGGGAGGGGGCTCGAGTCAACCAAGGTGTAGTTTTAGATTATTTTTCATAATAATAGGGGATATTATTATAATCAAGATATATATTCAGTTGTTAATTAATTTAGGAATTTTTATAAGGTGAAGGTGGGTAAATTTTTGAAAAGATTTAGATCTAGTAGCTTATTATTGATGCTGATGATTAGGGTCTATAGAATTGATGACGGGAGGTTTATGAGAATTTGTAGGATTTATATATTTTTCTTAGATCATTTCATATGAATCTACACGGACGCTTCGAAACATTTCTCCTGTTATTAATAGTAAGTTGGACGATGACACGTGATGATATGACTAATTGGTTATAACGGAAATGCTAGATAAATTCCTTCATTTTATGGTTTTGATGGATTGGTTTGTGCTCTATCCATCAACAAATGTTAGTACTTCTAGGGTTTTTAGGACACTTTTAAACGGGATAGGATTTTTTTTAAAAAAAACTCAACTATCCGTCGTTAAAGCTAAATGGCTAGCTTCGTATGACGCAACCCGCTAATTGGTGCAAAACTGCAAATTGCTCGTGAATGGTGCAACGAGACAGATATGTGTAAAGTTAAGGGGAGGACAGACCATTTCCTTCTGTTAGACGTGCTAAATGTCCCTTATTGGTGAACAGATCAACAACGTGTTGCCCAGCAGCCGGCCACAGGTCACGCACTATATATCATTTGAATCGAGCAAATGCATGACGTACGTGGGTTTTGTTTGAACATCTTGCATATTCCTTGACACAATGCAATTTGAATCGAGCAAATAAATAGTGTAGGTGGATTTTATTTGAACCGTCAAAGGTCCGTTCGAGAAATAAAGATAGCAGTTATGACTTGATGAAGACACAGCTCCGATGATTGGGGAAATTTTTCCCTGACTTTGTACTACTCCCTATGTCAACAAACAATCTAAAGATATGATTCGGTGTGGCCAGCTCGCGCAGCCAGCGCGTCCACGTCGCCGGCTTTTCGTGGCCGTTCGATCACTCGCGCGGACGGCCAGATCGGGTGAGCCGCGGTCATTTTTCGAAAAAACCCTTCTGCTTTTCGGAAATCAACCCGCGATCCAGAGTCCCTCTCAGGATATTTTGCAAGAAACTCCTCAGATTTTTTTGAAATCAAACCGCAGTCCAGAATGGTTGCCCTCCAGGTTTTTTGCAAAAAAACCCTTACCTTTTCCGAAAATCGACCCGTGCTCCACAAACCCTCTCACCATTTTTTGCAAAAACCTCCTCGGATTTTTCTCAAATCAACATACAGTCCAACTTTGATTATATCTTTTTTTCCCAAAAAAAAAACGTTTGGCCAGTGCACCGCGCGCATGGGCGCGCCCGAAAGACTAGTAGGAAACAGTTCGCCTTTCCCAGAACGGGTCCAAGTCAACCAGTAGCTGTAGCTTTGAACCACTTCTTTTTTTCGTTACACTACTAGGGAAATTAATCTAAATTTTTATAATTTGGTCCTTTTTTAAGAAAATTTACATTTGCCCCCCTAGAGACATAAACTCATCTTTGGACCCTGAGGGTCGGCACCAGGAATCATGGCGCCGAGGTAACACGTCTTCGCGTCACAGATCTTGGCGCCGAGGTGCCTGGCCGAGCACAGCAAGCCATCCTAGGTGGCGTTCACGTGGCCGGCACCTCGGCGCCACTGATCTTGGCGCCGAGCTCGGTGTTCACGTGGTAGACACATCGGCGCCACAGATCTTGGTGCCGAGCTCGGTGTTCACGTGGTCGACACCTCGGCGCCACAGATCTTGAATAATATACCCGTATAATAATATAACTTGGTTGACGGCGGCGCAGGAGGCGCAGGGAGAGCTGCGGTCGACGGCGGCGCAGGAGGCAAAGACAGAGCGCGCGAGAGAGAGAGAGCTGCGGCCGCGGGTTTTGAATCAATGCTTGGCGTCAAGATCTGTGGCGCTGAGCTCGGCGCTAAGATCTGTGGTGCCGAGGTGTCTACCACGTGAACACCGAGCTCGGCGTCAAGATGTGTGGCGCCGAGGTGCCGGCCACGTGAACGCCACCTAGGATGGCTTGCTGTGCTCGGCCAGGCACCTCGGCGCCAAGATCTGTGGCGCCGAGACGTGTTACCTCGGCGCCATGATTCCTGGCGTCGACCCTAGGGTCCAAAGATGAGTTTAAGTCTCCCAGGAGGCCAAACATAATTTTTTTAAAAAGAGCCAAATTGTAAAAAAAAATTAGGGGAAATTAACATATTAGACCGTTGACTACGTATGCTACATACCAGTACACTATCTAATAAAAATTTCTGCATGCATATATGTATACAGCGCATGAATTGCATAAGTTAGAATTTTGAAACTTCCTACTAGATAAATAGGTATATGTACTTGTGCGTGGCGATAGATATGTAGTGAGGCACTGACGAACTGCGTTCTCTCTCTCTTTTTTTTAAACGAACCGGCAAGAGAGCCGCTCGCTATATTAAAAAAAAAAGAATGCTCGAACAGACACTGTACAGCCACATGAAAAAATGACAAACACAAAGAGCAAAAGAGGAAAAAAAGACCTCCACTGGGGGAGGTGCCGATCAAAACTGCATAAAGTGGTGGCTCATAATATTAGCCAGGTGCTTCGCTCCCACCATTATCCACACTCTCACCTCTTCCTTGATTTTCTGAAGCACCGTAAGGTTTATGGATTCTGCGTGCGGGAAAGTTCTTACATTTTTTTCCTTCCAAACCTCCTAACAAATAGGATGATGATCGAGCGGAGGCCTCTCCTGCTTGCACTCGGCGCAGCTGGTATGGCCGTCCACCACTTCTCAAGTGTCTCGCTAGGCGGCCAGGCATTCGGGTGCAAATTAGGAATTGCCGTTCAGGTGGCGATTTCACTCCATGAACGCTTCGTGAACCTGCGGTCTTTGAAGAGGTGCATGTCCAATTCTGCGCGTATCCTATGGAGTGGACGAACTACGTACATTGTCTTCAAATTTTCTGATGTGAAATGCCATGTCATCGCTATGGCGTAGGGTCTGTTGATTGGGTAGCGTGTTCCTCGTACATTACTTGTTCGGTTGGGAAAGAAGCCGGCTTGTTCGGTTTCTTTTTTTTAGCTGGAGCAGTGTTTTTCTCTCACAACATTCTAGTATAAACAGTGTTTTCCAGTATGAACAGTGACATTTTATCCCAGCCGAACACTGCCTTTGTCGATGTCAACCAAGAATTAATTCAAAATACCTTGACTATTCCTAACAGCGCGGCTGCAAGAAGCCTCCAATTAACGCAAACAGCTGTTGTTGGAATCATCTGTTCCGTTAGCTAAAAAAAATGTAAGGAATCGATCGTGTGGATCGATATTTCCATCAACCTAAGAAGTTTTCAAAAAGCTGACTAGACCATATTTGTCCAGAGATCCAAAAGACAATCTTTTAGCTAGCTGGACAAACAAGGGATATACACCCAGCTAAGTAAGATCCAACGACAGCACAGATGATGTAGCTAGAGTAAACCATGTCCATACAACTACACAACATTCCATTCTCCGGTAATGGCCCTGTTCGCTTCTCTCATAATCCGTCTTTTTCAGCTTGTTTTTTTAGTTGGAACAATATTTTTCTCTCACAACAAATCAGCTGGAACAATGTTTCGGCTTGTTTTTTCAGCGAAGCGAACGAGGCCAAATAATAGACCCCATCCTAGCTACTCAATGGACCAGGATGGGCAATCGACGAGGTTTCGTAACCGTGCAATAAACTCTCTATACCATCTGATCAGTGGAGCGAATTAACGAATAATCACGCGCAGTCACTCACTCCACTGCAATAAACTAACCAGTAACTGTTTGTCAACCATTCTCTTTCTGGCTTCAAGAAAATGCTAGCTGTCGCTCCAAGTGCAACTGAACCGGGCTTCTTCGAAATCGAAATAAAAATATATGATCAGCAGTAGCAGGCCATCCCAGTTACCAGTTAGCCACGCAAACTGGATATTTTAAATCCGCTGATGATGATGTGCCAATCTAGCAGGTGTGTTCTACGTGGAATTTTAAAGCCTTAAACTCAGTGCTTTTCAGTGAGGCTGTGGCTCTCCATTGGTGAGGTCAAGTCACGGGGTTTTGTCCCTTAGCTGCCACTTCAATCAACTGCCTCTAGATCTTCCAACTACTACAGTCTGGAGTAGGAGCAGTACGATCCATGTCGGTTTCAAGAAAGCAAAATTTTCCTGCTCGTGAGGTGGGCCACCGAGAAATTTGGCGGCCCGTTGACAAACAGCATCGCTGATGCATTCTGCATGCTATGCTGCTGTCAGGTACTAGTAATGTGCACGAGTTGAATGTCCGGTCCCTGACGTAACCTCCGATGCAAGACTGACAGCATCCTTCATCGAAGAACTTGGCGCCATTATACAACGTTAGTTATACGAAGAAAAAAAAAACACTTGGCGACGCAAGGCTGAAAAGGACGGGAAGGACCGAAGGAGCCGAAAGGGCCTGCCTGACGAACTATAAGGCCCATCATTATTCAAACGGGCTGGCGGACTGGAGGAGGCCCATGAAATGGAAAGGCCCGCTATTCGAAGGGCCTTGATTGGATTCCTCGTAGCTGCGGCTTGCGGTGTTGTACTATTTTTCTCTCTCGATCGAAATCGGCAGTCTCTCTCCCCTCCGGCGGCACTTCCTCCGTTCGACTCGCCTGCGGCGGCGGCGCCGGCGACCAGCGGCCATGCGGGTGGCACCCAGGGTGCTCTTCCTCGTCCGCGACGCCGCGGGCTACGGCGCGGCCCTCGCGGACGCGCTCCGTCCGCGGCCCGGGCTAACGAGGTTCTCCCTCCCACCCAAAACCCTAACCTATAACTTTCGAACGCATGCAGCATCCGCTCACTGCCGCTTTGCTGCTGGATGTCTCTGGCAGGGAGTCCTCGCCCTTCGAGCTCCCGCTCGGCAAGTACGGCCTCGACGGAGAGAAGGCGTCCGGCGAGCTCCTGAGCTTTTCCGATTCCAGTGGCTCTCCACAGGTAAGGGCACAAGAGGATTTCTACCTGTCTCATTTATTTGATTCGATTCGTGTCCTGCCAGTTAAAATGTAGGGATTTTCTTAAAAATAAATCTATATATGAATTTAATTTGTTCCGGGTCGTCACCCCCGTGGCGCGCCGTGTCGCGATCTAAACACGGTGTCAAGTGAGTAAGGATCGGGTCGTCGCATCCTTAGTGGCGCGCCACATCGGCGTCCGGGTGTGGTACAAAATGAGCAAGGGTTTTCTCACCTACCTCAGCGGGTGCGAAGGGTAAGAAAGCTAGTCGAGCCAACTAGGATCCGTTTAGGTAGCTGGAATGTAGGGTCCCTTACAGGTAAGTTAAGAGAGTTAGTGGACACAGCGGTTAGGAGGCGTGTAAATATCTTATGCGTCTAAGAGACTAAATGGAAGGGGCAAAAGGCGAAGGAGGTAGACAATACCAGCTTCAAGTTTTGGTATACATGGACAACTTCAAATAAAAATGGAGTATGAATTTTGATTGATAAGAACCTTAAGGATGGTGTAGTGGAGGTGAGAAGGCAAGGGGATAGGAGCATCTTAGTTAAACTTGTCATTAGTGATATGGTCTTAAACGTAATTAGTGCGTATACCCCAAGTAGGCCATGATGACAGTACTAAGCGGCTTTTCTGGGAAGACTTTGATCGCTTGGTTAGAGCTGCCCCTAGTAGCGAGAAGCTCTTTATAGGAGGTGATCTTAATTGTCATGTAGGTACATCAAGTGTAGGTTTCGAGACGGTTCATGGGGTTTGGATATGATAGAAAGTAACCAGAAGGAAGAGGAAGTCTTAGACTTCGCCATATGTTTTGATCTAATGATAGCTAACATTTACCTCCGTAAGAGACCATATCACTAAGGGCATATTTTTTAGTGCTTATATACATTCTAACAATAACTAACCCTAGCTAGACGATGTAACTCCTACTCCGCAAGGGCATATTTTTGACTGCGCGAACAAGATGCAGTCAATCAGAGACGCCTGCAAGTGGCTGCAAGATATATTACAAGTGGTTCAAGTAGATTAGGATGGAATTTTGTTTAAGTTCTATTTTAATCCACCTCAACACATAGGGATTGATGCAAATCTGACTACACTAGTAAAGAACAGGTCTTTGATCCTCGGCCAAAATGGGCTCTAGTCCCGGAATTTTTTGCGCCCGGGACTAGAAATACCTTTAGTCCCGGTTGGTGTCTCCAACCGGGACTAAAGGTCCCTGCCCCAATGGCTACTGCGCCAGACAGAGGTGGCAGGGACCTTTAGTCCCGGTTGGAGCCACCAACCGGGACTAAAGGTATACTTTTACTCCCGGTTGGTGGCTCCAACCGGGAGTAAAGGTCTACTCCCGGGGTTGGAAAGTTACTTTTAGTCCCGGTTGGAGCCACCAACCGGGACTAAAGGTCCCCCTTTATATCCCGGCCGTCTCCTTCTTCCTCCCCGAGCCCGAGCTCAGCACATTTTGAAGCTCACTGCACTAGTGTTCTTGCTTCCTCCCTCCCTCCATTGTTCCTCCATCCATTATTTGATTCCTCCGTCGATTCTTCAGTTGTAAAGGTTACCAATCTCATACTCTCATTTTCCATCATTGTCTTATCTCATTTTGTTCACTATATATATATATATATATATATATATATATATATATATATATATGGTTCTTTATTGTGGTTTTTTTATTTGTAAGCAATTTGAGCTCAAAATCACTTCAAGCTTGCATATTTACATGAAATAAGGTTAAAGTAGCTAGTTGAACTTGCGGACCGTGTTCATCTCGGCGAGCACGTTCTCTACCAAGCGGTAACGGACGTCAAGGAGGAGCTTTGATTCTACGAGGGAGAGCGGCAACGGTCGTGGAAGACCGTGTTCCCTTCCTCGTAGAATTGGAGCTCTTCCGTGGCCAAGTACGGTGCCGTCCGGTGGAGAAATGCTCGCCGAGATGATCACGTAAGCAAGGTCAACTAGTAATCTGATGGTTATTTATTCACATGTCACGATATCGTCGCGATGAGTACATCAATCACCGTACCCAAACGTAGTATATATATAAATATAAACTTAGAAAATAGTTAGAAAATTATAGAAAATCCATACTAGTTGAACTTGCGGACCGTGTTCATCTCGGCGAGCACGTTCTCTGCCGAGCGGTAACGGATGTCAAGGAGGAGCTTTGATTCTACGAGGGAGAGCGGCAACGGTCGTGGAAGACCGTGTTCCCTTCCTCGTAGAATTGGAGCTCTTCCGTGGTCAAGTACGGTGCCGTCCGGTGGAGAAATGCTCGCCGAGATGATCACGTAAGCAAGGTCAACTAATACGGATGGTTATTTATTCACACGTCCCGATATAAATCGCGAGAGTCTCATATGTGTGTACACTTCCATTCTTACATTAATTTGCGGAAATATCATGTGAATTACTTACCTTCCGCAGTAAAAGACGAGAACACAATGACCATTAAAAATATCATTGTTTAGAGATCTAGATAATTTTATAGTTTCTTAATTTTATTTGTTTATAAAAGGAGAAATTTATAGTGTATTAAAAATTAGTATAGAGAGTAGATGGCAATCGCTTCCGGGTCCTCGGCCTCTCATGGGTTTCCAAAGCGACTTAGGCGGGCCTCCTCTCATTCCATGCGGCAAGTGTCGTGATGAGACGAAGATTGTGATGGAGTACCGAGTGAAGAAGGAGGGTCCCAACAAGGATCGTATCTTCTACAAGTGTCCAGGATCGCAATGTGAGTTATTTTATCGTATTTAATGATTATGGTTAGTTTATACCTATTTTCATGATGGTTGTGATTAAAGTTCTAATTTTTGTTTTAATTTGATTGGGATGACGGTGGGCGATGTTCGGGCTTCTCTTTGGGAGGAAGAGTATGTTGAACTCGTGCAAAAATATCTTACACAACAGGCAGATACGGTGGCTAATGAGGCAGTGATCCAGACAAAGAAGCCCAAAGATGTTGCACAATCGGGAGATCTGTCTGTTTTAGTTGAGATTGGTCGCGAAATCCTTGTGCTCCTGAAATGTATTTTAGCTTTAGTTCTTTTAGTGGTAGTTGGGATTGTCTACATTGTAGCGATGCTTTCATAAATTTGTATCTTTTGTGGTGGCACGCATGTTGTATAAATAATTAATTATGATCTAGGTTTTAATATGATATTTATGTCATGTAATGCAGATGAGCCGTCATTGGATGTATAATCTTGATCGCCGCTCCCAAGAGTTCATTATGGCGTGCATTCTTTGTTACGTCTTGGCCGAGGCAAACAAACGCGACGGTTTCATGTCTTTGCCCATGTGCCATATGTAAGAATACGGTGGAATATCCTTACTCAAGGACTCTTCATTCACACTTGTTCAAGTCGGGTTTCATGCCAAACTATATTTGTTGGACAAAGCACGGAGAAACCGGTGTTGTAATGAAAGAAGGTGAAGAAGAACAATGGGACGACAATGATATTATTCTTGATGGTGCGTGCTTCAATGATACTGCAATGGGAGAAGCCGAAGAAGAGGTAGCCGCAGAAGATGAGAGCGGTGATGATCTTTGTCAGGTCATTCGTGACGCACAAAGAGAATGTGAAAGTGAAAAGGAGAAGATCAAGTTCGAAAGCGGATGCTAGAAGATCACAAGAAATTGTTGTACCCAACTTGTGATGCAGGGCAGAAAAAGTTGGGAACCACACTAGAATTGCTGCAATGGAAGGCAAAGAATGGTGTATCTGACAAGGGATTTGAAGAGTTACTAAAAATCCAAAAGAAGATGCTTCGAAGTACAATGAATTGCCCGCCACTACCTATGAAGCAAAACAAGTTGTACATCCTATGGGGCTAGAAATAGAGAAGATACATGCATGTCCTAATGATCGCATCTGTGCACTGTGGCAAAAAGTCGAGAAATTGGATGCATGCCCGGTATGCCATGCGTCATGCAGTATAAGATCAAAGCGAGATGACCTGGTGATGTTGAGGGCTTAACGTCCGCGTAAGAAAATCCTCGCCAAGGTTATGTGGTATGCTCCTATAATACCACGCTTGAAACGTCTGTTCGTGAAACAAAGAACATGCAAAATTATTTACGATGGCACAAAGAAGACCGTAAGGTAGACAATATGTTGAGACACCCTGCTGATGGGTCCCAAAGTGGAGAGCAATCGACGAGAGAATTTTGAGTTTGCAAATGACGCAAGAAACTTAAGGTTTGCTTTAAGTACAGATGGTATCAATCCTTTTGGAGAAGCGAGCGATAGTCATAGCACTTGGCCTATTACTCTAAGTATCTACAACATTCCTCCTTGGTTATGCATGAAGCGGAAGTTCATTATAATGCTGTGCTCATCCAAGGCCCGAAGCAACCTGGCAATGACATCGATGTGTACCGAGACCACTTATTGACGAACTTCTCATTTTGTGGAATAAAGAAGGTATGCGTGTGTGGGATGAGTACAAACAGAACACTTTGATCTCATGAGCATTGTTGTTCGTAACAATCAATGATTGGCCTACTCTAAGTAATCTTTCGAGATAGTCAAACAAGGGATATAATGCATGCACACACCGCTTCGGTGATATTAGAGGTGTATTCTTGAAAAAAATGTCGAAAGGGTCGTGTACCTTGGCCATCGTCGATTTCTTCACGCAAATCACCCCGTAAGAAAGAAAGGCAAGCATTTTAAAGGGAAGGCGGACACACGACCAAGCCTCTTAAGAATCGAACCGGTGAGGATGTACTCGATATGGTCAATGATGTGAAAGTCGTCTTTGGAAAAGGACATGGAAGCCAACCTATTCCAAAAGACGCTAACGGTCACGCACCCATGTGGAAGTAGATTTTTCCTATGTGCAATAAACAAAAAGAAAATTCATATTTTTAACAAAATAATTTTATGCCTTTTATTTAATTTACTATGTATTTAACAAAAACTATTGCATTTCTATTGTATTTAACAAGACTTGCTTAAAAGCAAAGGGAAGCGAAAGCTGCAGACCACCTTTACTCCCGGGTGGGAAGCCCACCCGGAGTAAAGGTGGGCTGCAGTTTGCGGGTC